GGTGTGCCTTTTCCCTCTCGGAAGAACTGGATGGAAGCTGCACGGTTTCCCTTCTCTACCCACGTCCTGGTGCTAGGTGGGGACCATTACAAGCCCCATAGAACCCTCAGTAGATGCTGTGTGGCCTCAGGCCTTGAAGGCTGGGGAGCAGGAAGTGGCTGGTACTGAGCACAGTTAGGGCAAATGGCCAGTTACCCAACAAGCACCAGCTGGGCAGGTGTTTCATCTGCTCCCCAGGAGTGAGTTCTGCAAAGTCCTGGTCCCCGTTTGTTTGTAATGGACCCAGGCCCTTTGCGCCTGGCCTGGGCGCCAGGCACGGTGCTCTGTGGGGGCGACTGAGTGGGCAGGCCCTCCCCTGCCCAGAGCCTGTGCATTGGGGTCCTGTCACAGGGGCACCGAAGACATCCACTGGGCCCTGGTAGAAAGCGTATCCGGAAGAGGCAGCCTGCCGTCTCGGTGAGAGACGGCTGGGAAGGCAGACAGGCTGAGTCTTGACGTTGGATTTGCCACTTAATACGCGGTGACCTTGGACAGGTGATGTCTCGCTCTGCGGTTGCCTTTGGGGAGAGTGCTTTGGGAACAGGCTGCACGGACCCGGCACACGTTAGGGCTCAGCCTCTGTCTTCTCCCCGTCACCCGCTCCAGAAGCCACGGAGCCTGGAGGCGCTGGCTGCTCCTGTCCTCAGAGCACAGCTTGGGGACTTGTGTGGCCTCCTGACTCCCCGTCCAGGCTCTGTCCTCAGCCCTCGGCCGGCTGTCCCATCATGGAACAGTCAGACAGGAAGGAAGTTTATCTGCTGGAGAGGGCGGGGGAGGGTGCAGGAGACCAGCCGGAGGGCCGGCCCTCCAGCAGCCCAGTCCTTTTGCCCCCGTCTGTCGCCCCTGTCTGTCCTCTGTCCTGCCCCTTCCTTCCTGGCCCGGTGTTTTCTTTTTTAATTGCAAACGTCTGCCCTGGAGCCAGGCTTCCGACCGGAGTCGCAGCCTGGGAGTCTGGTGTTGACACTGGGTTGGCCCACGAGGGGTGAACGGCGTAGGTAGCTCTTAGCCGGGTTGCCCTGCCGGACACTCGTAAACGGGTCCTAGCCAGGGTCCTAGCCAGCGTTTCGTGCGAGCGCAGTGAGCGCCCGCTGAGGGGGGAAGGCGTTGTGTTTATTTACTGAAGATCTGGCGGGGAGGTTTCTGGTAGCTGCTCAGGGGAGTTCGTGCTGGGCGGGTTTACTCCAGGATAGAGCGTCATGCGGTACACACCGAGGCGCTCAGGGGAATCCGGGGACCGTTCCCTCCCCTTACTCAGGTGACTTGGCAAACACCTCAAGAGAAACAACTGAACGAACGGTTGATGCTCGAGCGGGTCTTTCCCGAGGATGAGAGTGAGCAGGTGCCTGCACGTGCCAGCCCCAGGGACAGCCCGGAGCCGTCCCGCGTTGTGCTGGCCCGTCCGTGCGGTGAGCACCGACCCATGGCAGCAGCGGGAGCGGCCGGTCAAACAGGCAGACCCCTTCCAGACCCACCTCAGGCGCTGGTTTACTGTTTACTTTGCTTCTCTGCATTTCCTATTCCTAGAGCAGCTCACCAGAGAAATGGCCGCCGTGAACACAGCAGCTCTGCAGAGTGCTTTGCAGCAGCTCGTAAACCATTTAAGGACAATGTGGCTTCGCCCGTGTGATGTAGACGGAGCTGGGGTTAGAACTCAGGACCTAGGTTCTCCCTCTGCTGCATGGCCAGGGAGGGGGACGGGGGACCCGGAAGGTGGGTCCCCCGTGGGTGCGCTGTTCCCAGGTCTGGTGCCACGAGGGGGTGGGGGAGGTGCAGCGGGGGTCCTGGGTACCGACAGGAGCCCTTTGCCTGGGTTTCCGGGTGTCAGGAGTTGCTATGGTGACGCAGCTCCCCAGGAATTTGCTGACGTCAGTGCTGAGTGATTCCCATGTATGGTGAAGTGTGTAAATACACAGCAGCCGTCCCTTCCAGACTGTGGCATTTCCAGTGCTCCCGAGAGCCAGCAGGCCACAGCAAACACGACAAAGAAGGAAGAAACAAGTTCGCAGCGGGAGCACCCGCCCGCCAGCCGGGCACCAGAGCCTCGCTGTCCTCGGCCGCGTGGGCCGGGCCTCCGACGTGTCAGCTGCAAACAACCCGTTTTCCTGAGGTCTGAGCGCCCTTCGTTTTCACAAATCAACCAAAGAGACGTCAGACCTTTTCAGCGGGCTCAGCCATCGTCGCCGCTCTAAGCTGACATCACTGCAGACGGGAGCAAAGAAGCGACCTGCTGAGGACACCAGGGGACTCATCGCAGTGCAGGGTTTTTCCTGTGATGGTCCTGATGTGCGTGAACCACACACCCCCGTTTCTACCCGAGTCAACCTTCAGCTTTCGGAGCTGCGAGGGGGGACAGCTCTGCTGTCAGAGGGAGCGCCCTCTGACACAGCCCCACAAGGGCCACCGGGCATGGCCTCGGAAAGAGAACAGTCATAGTAGAGAGAGGGGGTTAAGTGACCATCAGTGCTGGCCAAGCCCACGTCGCCACGCTGGCCGTCTGTCCCCTGCTAGTGATCATCACTTTCAGGGACAGTCTGTTTCCTGGGCTTCTCAGTGTCACCCCAAGACACAGGCCCTGAACCTTGACTGGCAAGGCCCCTCCTCCCCTCCTCAGCCACCCCCCTGACGTGGGGGCGTGCAAGAAAGGGTGACATCTCTGCTGGGTACCTGGCCAGACACCACAGAGCTCAGGTGACCGAAAGCGCGTTTCTGACTTGACAAACACCCGGCCGGTCTCTGCCAGTGCAAGCAGGTGGGGACATGAGCTGTGCCCAGAAGTCATTCTTTGGCCCTAGGGAACGAAAGATTTGGACGAGGAGAGTCGGGTTTTTCCACTGGAGAGATGAAGACGCGATGCTTCGTCGCATCGCTGGTTCGGTGAAGGAAGTTATTCCGGCATTTAACGGTCCTCCATCTCCGGGACGGTTTCTCAAACTTGAGACCACATGGAACCCGCCACCTCAGCCCAGCCCTCACGAGGTTTAGGTTGCACCCGGATCTGTGCCCTGGGTCTGCCCCTTCGGCCCCGAGGGGGACCCGTTAGTGGTGAGCAGAGGGAGGGGCGCGTGGGGTCTGCGGGCCCTGTGCCGTCACGTCCAGCTTGTCCCTACACCCTCGGCGTGGACACTTGAGAGCCAGCGTCCGGCTCGGAGGCAGGCAGACGGGCTCAGAGCGGAAATGACTGCCCTTCGGCCAGGAAGGCGGGAACACCACCCCACTTCCCTGACGCTGAGCTGTGCCCTGAGCGCCGACCTGGGGGAGGTCTGCCCCCCGTCTCCTGCAGGGCCCCTGTTCCCCAGAGGCCTCTGTACGGTCCGGGAACTGAGAGTCTGGCTTCCTTTTAGGGCAGTCCAGGCCCCTGACGGATGGGGCAGGGGGCGCAGTGAAGAGAGGGCCCTGCCCCCCAGAGAAGGGGGTGCAGTCCTCCCTGCAGCTGAGAGTTTGGTCCCCCGAAAGGATCCCGCATGGCCCAGCTGAGAGGTGTCCCGGGCAGCTTTCCTCCCTGGCAGGTCCCCGGGGCCCAGTCCCCGCCCATGTCCCTGTACCCTGGAGCCCTGCCGGGCCTGACACGGGGCCATCGCGCACAAGGGGACGTCTGTGGAGCTGTGGGTCCCTCCACAGGGAGAGGGCTCTGGCGTCCGGGAACAGAGCACCGCTTGGACCGGCTCCCAGCTGCGGGGTGGGGGAGGTTGCGTCCCTCTGGGGTGCTCCTGGCAACAGAGCGGTCCCCCGTGGGTTCAGGGGCGGCAGGGGAGGGGAGGGCCAGGCACCGGTGTCCTGCGTGCTCATCACGTGCAGGCGCTTTTCAGTGTGGGGGGTGGCAGCATGGCAGGTGGGGTGACAAGTCTCAAATCTGGCCGGTCTGCGCTGGACCCCAGTTCTGTCTCCTGTGGCTGAGTGACTGCGAGCTAGTGGCCCACTGAGCCGCGACCTCTTACCTGTGGGCGAGTGGGCACGCGCCCCCCACCTCCAGTCCTCCCAAGGGAATGAGATTGTGTCCACCGTCCGGCACGTGGCAGTGCAGTCTGTCCCCAAGCTCCGAGGTGACGCTCAGCCACCTCGTCAGAGGCAGAAGAGAGCTGGGGGCTCCATGTGACAGGCCCATTTTCCCCGGAAGCTTCCCCAGCAGACCCCTCCCCCCGGACATTTCATGCCTGTTTCTGAAGCAGCCCCCACAGGGAGGGGCCCGTGGCTGGCTTTGGTAGCCGGGCTGTGCCCTGGAGCTGGGGCTGGGGACACCACTGAGTCACTCGGAGTCAGGGTTCTGTTACAGGAAGGAGGGGGACGGGAGGTCAGGGGACAGTAATACGCCCCCATCACAGTGTCCTCCTTGTGTGGTTTTGCAGCCCCGAGCTCTTGCTCAGCCAGGCAGCTGGCCCCTGGTGTCCGCAGGGCAGGGAGGGGCCATCAGAGGACCGGCCCGGACGGAGGATGGTACAGAGGTCGGTGGCCAGCGGGGCCGTCCTGCACGTGTGTGAGCTGCTGCCGTTCAGACCTGGAACGGGGAGCTCCTCGTGCAGAGGCGGCCGGCCCTGCACCCCTGGGCAGGGACAGTGCACGGCCCCCAGCTCCGAACAGGCATCGCCGGGCTCCTTCTCGGCCAGGCCCTGCTCTGGGCTCTGTAGGGGTGGACGGGGCGGCCGACCACAGCCCCGACATGTGGGAGGTGTGGTGATGGTGACAGGGCTGGGGAGTGAGTGGGCTCTGCTGCAGGGGGCTCGAGGTGGGGGCGTCTCAGGCACCAGGGAGCCCCCGATGGGGCCTGAGTGAGGAGCTCCACAGAAAGGACCTGGTGGCCTGGCTGGGACGGGGGGAGGGGGATTCAGCCTCTGCGGCTGCCTCTGGGGACACTTCCGCCCGTGAAGTCCCTGGCTAAAGCGCTGAAGGGACTTGGCTGGTCCCTTTAGCTGGAAAGTCCGGAGTGAGTTTGGCCGAATTCGGTGGCTGGATGACGTCACCGCACAGTGGGTTTCTTTTGTCTCTCGGGTCTGTCTTTCCTGCTGTCAGCTTCGTCCTGGGACTGCCTGTTCCCCCTCGAGACAACACCCCAGAGCCCCTGCTCCCCCTCCTCATCGAGGGAGGGGCTCGCTTCCAGAAGCTTCTCGTGGAAGGTCGGGACATTTTTCTCTCCAGAGCCCCCAGAGCTCCCTTATTCTGGCTTGTTGGCCTGAAATGTGTGGCCAGCCTATCCTGAGCCAGTAACCTTGACCGATTAGGTTAGGTCCAGGCCACACGATGTGGCTGAAAACCAGGGTAGTCAGCAAGGAAAAGGTGGCCATTCCCTCGAGCCCGGCACGTGGCTGGGCCTCCCTTCAGGAGCCCGGTGAAGGGACAAGGCCTTGAGCTGGGCAGCGAGTGTGTCCACAGCCAGGAAGGGCCCAGCAGCCCCTGCGGGTGGGCTCCCCAGCCCGTCTGCCCAGGACGGACCCCTCCAGGGACCCAAGTCTCAGCCGCGGGGAGGCCCAGCCCCCCGCTTGTCCACGAGGAGGGCCCCGCGTGCCATGGCCCTCGCACGGGGTCTGCGTCTCTGAGCTCTGGTTTCGTGAACGTCGAGGCTGCCGCCGCCACCGTGCCGCAGCTGGCCGAGGGCGCAGGACGTGGGGAAGGGGCCCCAGGAGCTCGGCTCGGCCTCCTCTGCTTCTCAGGCCCTGCCCGTGGTCGCCTGGCTGGGCCGCCTGCGTCTCCGTGGCCCTGGAGATGACTTCCTGTCTGTGTCCAGTTGCAGAATGCCGAACTGGGGAGGAGGCAGGAGGTGCGGGGTTTGCCAGAAGACCGTGTACTTCGCCGAGGAGGTTCAGTGTGAAGGCAACAGCTTCCACAAGTCCTGCTTCCTGTGCAGTGAGTCGGGCCAGGCCCTGCGGGTCCCTGGGGACGGGGGGGGAGGGGCACCCCCAGGCTGGCCTGTCAGCACCCTGGGGAACTGGCCCCTTGGGATGTAAACAGCTTGACATTTGGCTGAAGCTGCAGCTGGGGCGGGAAGCACTTAAGGGCCTCTTTGTTGCTGCAGAGGCCTCTTCCAACGGGACCAGCTGGCCAGCGCGGGTGGGGGTGGTGGCCTGGGGGCCGAGGGCCAGGCTGGGGAAATTTTCCACTGCCAGCATTCTCGTCTTTCCCCTCTGCCACAGTCTGTCACTTAGGAGGAGGATGCTTTTAGCCCAAGGTTTCACCAGCCCGTGAGCCCGAATCACCCCTGGGTAAAAGGCAGCTCCGGGGGAGGCGCGGCTGTCCCTTCCCGCCCGCCTCAGGGCCGCCCTCACTTCCCTTCCTGCTCCTGCAGCTGGGAGAAGGAGACGAGCACCAACGCTCTGTGGCTCCCACCCCCAAAAGCCCAGAGCCCGGAGGAGCAGGAAACCGGCGCAGCCGGAGACGGCCAGCGCCTGGGCTGGGGTGTTCCCCAAGCCTCCAGGAAGGGGTAGCGTGGGGGAAGCCCCCAGACTCCTGAGCGCTGGTGATTGGTGGGGGAGTCCGCTGAGAAGAGGCAGCTGCAGCTCCCACGTCCTCCTTGGGGGCAGCAGAGTGGGTGCTGGGGCGTCCTTGCCAACCCCCGCTTCCGAGCAGGCCGGTCGGGCAGGGTGCGTGCGACGCGGCCTTGTTACGCGTGTGCTCACGGACGAGGTCGCCCGCTCCTCTCCGCGTGGGGTTTCTCTGTCATGGGGGCGGGGGGCCTGGGGGGGTGTCGTGAGCATCGGGATGCAGGGAGCCTGGGAATGGAGCGCTCCCAACAACTGTATTTAGTAAGTGAAAGACACTCCCGACACACACGTGTGCAAGCACACACGCACACACACATGCGTGTACACACGTGTAAGCATACATGTGCACGTACATGCATGCATACACACACGTGCACACACACATGTGGCTGAGGCAGCCGCAGTGTGGCCGGCCGTCCTGCATCACGTGAAGCGGAGCTAGGGACTCTGTGGCTGCTTCGTGCCAGGTGACTTCTGATGCAGACAGAGTAGGGTCCCCCTGGGCCACCTGTTCACCAGATCTCCACCTGTGGAAGCTGCCTAGTGCAGGAGTGACAGCCCGCGGGCTGCGCCGACGCGTGGGGACAGACAGCTTGCCGGAGCCTCGCCGGCCCCCACCCCTGGGGGAGCTGCAGACAGCAGCGGCTGCGGCTCGTCCTCAGCAGTTCACCGCACTGAGGAATTCTGAGCTGTTTATTTTTTCAGAGGGAGCGGGAGGGCTTGACATGGCCGGGAAGAGGGTCAGGCAGCCTCTCTGCCCTCAGCTGTTGCTAATCACTGACCAGAGGCCAGCTGTGGCTGAGCCGCCCGGGCTTGCTGTCCTGCTCGTTGGGGTGGCCGTCGGGCAGGCAGTTGAGGGGAGTCAGGAACTGGGGGGTGGCAGAGGGAGGAGGGAGCAGGCCGGGCCAGGATGCGAGCGGTGCCGGGGACTAGAAGCAGCTGCAGAAAGTCAGCCCGGGGCAGGGCTTGGACGGGCGGCCGACACTAACAACCACCGGGAACGGCTGTGGGTCTCTGGGGTCCCCCGCTCAGCAGTGGGGCTTCGGTGCTCAGATGGTCTCCACAATCCAGGCCGGCTCCGCGACCTGCTTGTTCCCGGGGCCCAGAGCTGCTCCGAGCTCTTGGTCGGCTGTTGACAAGGACGTGGAGTGGAAGAGCTGCCACCTCTCCGGTTCTGTGAAAAGCGTCCAGCTTGGGTTCGAGGATCCAGGGTGACCCATGGAGTCAGGGACTTTTCCCTCAGGGAGAGAGGCCCCAGGCTTGGGCCAGACTGGCGTTCGGGGCCACAGTCCCTTGCCAGCCGGGCCCGCGTGTGTCCCCAGAAGCTCCTCTGGGCATTTCGGCTGTGGATCAACCCAGCTCAGTGCCTACATTCCCTTTCTAGGCTGGGACAGGCAGGAAGACAGGGTGACGCACAGGACGAGGCCAGGAACAGTGGCCTTGGGCTTGACCTTCGACCCGGGAGCAGGGACGGAGAGGGCCTGCACTCCCGTGGTTTCCGTGGGGTCGGCCAGTTCCCGTGCACGGGCAGGAGAGCTCAGCTTCTTGGTTGGGGGCCCGGCGAGGCTGAGGCTAGTGCCTGGCCCTGAACTGTGACCGACCCCCTCCAGGGCAGGCTAGGGTCCGGCCCGACCCCGCGGTGGTGGCCGATGGGACTGGGCTGCTCTTAGAAGCCCACATGCCCTCGGATACCAGCGCCTCCCGAACCGCAGGCTGAGCTCTGCTGCCAGTGTTCACTTCCCACATGCTTGGCCTGCCCGGAAGGGACCTGGGTGGCAGAAATGGCCAAGTCGTGCTGGGCTCTGGCCCAACCCTGCCTCTGGCCGGTTCTGTGAGCCTGAACTTCTTTGTGGGCCTTGCTTTTCTTCCGGAAGCAGAGAGAATCACTCTGACTTGGGGTGGGGAGGGGGCCGACTCTCCGCCGGGGATGCCTGTTCCCAGACGGCATCACGAGGCCTCATGTGGCCAGGTGGCATCTGGATGCACACCCAATGCTGAGTCATTTGCCCAGATAATGAACCCGTAACTCTCTTTTTTGGCTAATTATTGGGTAGAAGTTCACTCAACTCTGCTTGGGTGAGTCTTTGGTGGAGCCCACAGGGGCGGAGGGCCAAGGGGATGAAACAGGACGGGGCTCTGGGAGAGCGAGGCTCAGCGGAGGCCCATAGGAGGGACGTCCCCGAGGGTCCGGGCCCAGTGGGCGAGGTGAGGAGCCACCTGGAGAGGGAGCCGTGGGCCATGCCGTGCTGGGGCCGGAGACCGGGCAGAGGTGACCGCTGCCCCCAGCTGCTCTGCCTCCCTGGTCTTGGAATTTCCAGGTCCAGCTGCGTCTCCAGGAAGCGACTCCAGGCGGCTCCCGGCCGCCCTGGAAGGCCCAGCCTGGGCGGGAACGTGGAGGCCTTGGCTGGTTTCCTTCCCCGTCTCCCGCAGCCAGGCCGGGAGCTGGGGCTTCCGTATTTGGGCTGCCCCGAGTGCTGGAATGGGGCGGGGACTCAGGGCAGCCCAGGAGTGGCCTTATT